GAAGGATGACTTGGATCCCGGGCATGCAGTCGCGAATAATTTGCCATATAGAGCCTTCAGGTAATATTTTGTTACTTACTGTTTGCCTGTCAACAAGACTTACTTACAACTTCAACAGCTGCATAAGAAAATGAGAACCCCCCGAAAAGTTGTTTTTCACTTCTTTTTTTTTAAAGAAAAAGTATGTAATTTTGGTTTAATCTCGTTCACAATTCATAAAATTAACATTTTTTTTAACCAGACTGACATTTTTATTTTCATTTAAAAAAAATGTTTAAATAAGTTTCTTATCGCTTCACGACAGCTGTTAGAAATATTACATATATATATATATATATATATATATATATATATATATATATATATATATATATATATTTATATTGTTTAGAATTTGAAGAGTTCAGTATCAGGGTATAGGGCATTTAATACGGAAGGGATGGGCACTTATCAATTAAGCATTTCATACCACATGTCAAACGAATCTATTAATAGAAGACAACGACTCTGCTTTCTCTCTCCAATGATGATGAGAGGGCTATGCTGATGACATAGGTATTCATAATTGGGATAAGAATGATCTTGGACAGAAAATAAACATCCTCTACGAAGTGTTCAAAAGAAATAGGACTCAAGATGATCATAAGATAAACTATGATCTGTCACTAGAATGAAAGCAGTGGTGACACTTACCTTGAATCGATCATAAAAATTCAGGATGTGGAATTTGTTAATACCAAACATTTCAAATACCTCGGCGTATAGAGCAATTATAAAAACATAGTGCAAGAGATAAGGAAATTGGACAGAGAATAGTTTGCCCCAGAGGTATTTTCATTGAACAATGGAAACTGCTAAAAAACCAAAATACCAGTCTGAAAACTCGAGTCGTGTACTTAAATAGCGTCGTCAGAACAAGACGTTCATATAGATGTCATTCATAGCACCAAACCCGTTCAGAAATATCTAAAGTGGCAGCTGTATACAACCTCTTTCTGAGATCAATGCTTAAAAAAGGCTTTGAGTGATAAAGCTTGGAAACGACCATCCTTCTTTGAACATGCACTATAGAATCACTGTATCTAAATAACTGTACCAAATAACAGAAACTACATCACTTGGCAACAACAACAATTAAGATGGATGCACATGCCGAAGAGAAAATAATGACCTCATCAAGATGTTGACATTCGACACTACTTCAAATAAAAGGTTAGGAAGGAAACCTCCATCAATACTAGGAAGAGTGATAACAGCTACTGGACTTGAAAACCCTATTTTCCTGAAAAAGCTGTGTTAAGAGAAAGATTTTATCAATTTCAACCGAAAGCCGTACTGGCTGCTCGGTCAATAAATACCAAATCTTTTCTTATAAGGAAACAGCTAATATTGCTATTGCCATATTTTCAAAAGTAAAACAGTATTAGCTTACAACAATATCTTATAAGAACGTTATTTTGCATAAAAATAATAATCACTTTTCCAAGACAAAGTAAAGCTCAAGGACAATTACCAAATGCAAACGGAAAGAAATTCCTACTACGCGATCTTTAACCGAAATAAAAATGTTATGCATGGCTCCAGACTCATTCAGAAGTAGCTAAACTGTGAGCAGTATACAGCCATTTTCTCATATTTCTCAAAGAGGAAAACTGGCTTCCATCGAATTATCCATGTACGTCTTAGTGTGAACTGACGCTATATAATAACAAAGGACAGTACCAAACAGACAGCACGTCACATGCAAACTTCCAACAACAGTAACAAGGAACCAGGAATGCTGTTGTTGAAAATTTTCAAGTGACGTAAATTCTGTTATTTGGCACAATTCATTGTGAAGAAATGGATAGCGGCTCGGATTTAGGAATCGGAGAGCCGAGTTCGAATTCCAGTCGAGTCCATTACATTCACTTACGTGCTAATACTTTTGGGAAAGGTATGAATCCTCTTCTTCTCTCTCCAGCTATAGGTAAATAGCAGGACAGACCGGGTTCTATAGTCTTAGATGGCAACTGGTCTACGCAGAGAGAAATGGCAACCTACTGCGGGAAAAAATCCGCCTTGTCAGTCATGTATCGAAAGGAAAGTTACATGATCGCCTAAGCGTGTGTGACGCAAAGCACATAAGTGACTAACTGACTGATAGAGCTAAAATGTTATGTATTTCTGGACGGTGTTTAGCGCCATGCACAACAGAATCTGTTAATTAAATTATTTCCTGTTAGGCCTATGTCCCCATCTTTGGTGTTGAACTGAGGAGTACAGACTCAGATTCTGTTCAAATATTAATAACTAAGCAGTAGTAAATGAAAACAAGACAACGATGAGATATTGCTAGACATACGTAGCGGAACGATAAGAGTGTAATCCTCAGATTAAATAATAGATGCAGTTTGAAGGTTATCCGGATCCCTAGACACCTGAAGAAGGGAAAAGTGTAAAACGGCTGAAACGTTGTGATAATCACAACAAACATGAGAACCCCCAATCGACTGTAAGTAATGTAAATATTGATAACTAAACAGGCCAGAAATTCAGACAGAAATAAAATTTATGTATCGAGCAAGAAGAGAAAGACAAGGAGTATTTTGACGTGGTGTAATGGTTAACAAACTTGTCTCGTGAGATCAGTTACGACCGAATAGCAAGTTCGATACCCGCTAGTTGTTCCACAATTTCTGCCTTGTGCCACATATCTAAACTACGCTTAGAAATTCATTTGCGCACTTAAACTTGATCTCATGGTCAGCAAGCTTGTCTCGCTAGATCAATTACAACTGAGAAGTGAGTTCGATATTCACTGGGTGTTCCTTAATTCCGAATTAGTGTCATATCAAAGCTACGCATAGAAAATCATTTGGGCACTTCAACATAGAAGCTTGTCTAACTCAATCACGGTTGAGTAGTGATTTCGGTACTCAGTGGGGACTGCATACTTTCTGCCTTGTGCCACATCTAAGCTACGCTTAGAACATCACCAAGAAGAGAATGACAAGCGTTTAAAAACTGACCGATGTTCGCTTCCGTTTCACGCTTTCTGATTTTTTACTCAGGCTTTTAAACGTCATACAACAGATGACCGCCCGTAGAAGTGACAGAACACTGAGTAAGGTTCAAAGACACTTTCCCTTATATTGTGAAAAAGTTGGCACTGGAAACTTTTGCGACAGTATAATGTTTTCAATGTTTATATTTTATGGGCGACATTCTAATAACATAAAATTTACTTCGAAAGAGCGTTGGAGAAATTTAGATTGCTATCAGATGCAACATTAATACATTTGTTTTATACGTGTTTAGGTTTGGTTTAGTTTGTTTTGTTTTACGGCATATCAACCTCAATGGGTTATTTAATGCCGACAAGATTTTTATTACTGGTAATATTTTTTTTTCAAAAATGTATTGCTAGGAATTTTTCCTTCAAAAACGTATAGCTGATAATACTTTTTCTTCAAAAAAAAATATATAGCTGGTAATATTTTTTTTCAAAAAAATGTATAGCTGGTAATACTTTTTTTTCGAAAAAATGTATAGCTGGTAATACTTTTTTTCGAAAAAATGTATAGTTGGTAATATTTTTTTCAAAAAATGTATAGCTGGTAATAATGTGTGGCTGGTAATAATTTTTCGTCAAAAATTCATTGCTGGCAATAATTTTCACAAACTATTTCTGGTATTAAAACCTATTTTTATACTTTCATAGTGTTTTGACACACAGTTTGGGGGTTAACTATTTACCCATAGCTGGGACCCTAACATGTGCTACCACCCCGGGTCAGGGTGGACCTGGGAACACCAGTAATTAAGAGGTGGTTTCACGCTCTTCAAAACCTCCCGATCAGAAGCCTTGCTATTGGACGTAGTTTATCGTCTTACCCAGGACGCGGATGGAGTTTATCGTCATACCCAGGACGGACGTGTTTAGATCTCTTTAAAGTGCATAGGTGAGCGTGCGATGGGGTCATGGTTATCGAGACAACAGGTCAGACAGAGGTGAGGGCGAGTAATCGGATTTAGGAAAAAATGTATTTGGTCAATTTTGTATATGAATGAATCGCTGTTTGCCTTCCAATTCAAACAGATTTAGAATACGAAATTCTGGCTTTTCCATGTGTTCATCTGTCAGTAGGTAATGCGTAACTATTTCAACGATGATGCAGGATACACGATCTTTAATTTCATATTTTTATAATGCCCAGATGAATTCTTAGTTTTCCATACCTGTTTTAGAGGAGGAGCAATTAACTTTAATTTACAGAACGAATTTACGAACAGACTCCACAAATCGAACAGTTCCATCCAGTCTGCGCGCAATAGGTTCAACGTATTATTTTTTTTTTTTAATACGAATTCCTTTAATACGAGGTTTGTTTGGCACACGAGATTGCATTCAGTTTCGTCTCGAAAACATTTTTCTGAAACGACAGGCGCAATGTTTTTGGGTTTTCGTTAATGTAGGTTCGTCAATGTTTTTTATTTATCCACTAGGAAACAAGAACAAGATTCCAGCTGAATCTTTCCCATCTGTGCTGGTCAAACTCTCTACCTTCGGGCAGAGAGGATCCCCAGACGAGGCTATGTCGAAGGGGAGAGTCTCGTCTCGGGAAACAGCTATCCGATCCTGTTTTATACGGGAATTTTTGGCCGAGCCTACGGGTTCGGATTCCCCTTCTTTAAAACTCGGCATTGTGCCACATCTTACCTCACCTTGGTTTAAATAAGAAATGAAATAGGTACTTACAATATATGAAATTGAACTACAGACACAGATGAGTAGGTACAATATTAATTACGTCTAATTAAATCAAGTATTAAATCACGATACAAATTTACTCACTAAATCAGATGCCATTTCAAAATTATGTTGATGCCCGAACTTAATTAACTGACTGATTGAATTGGCTGATTCGATATTTACTCGCAAAAATAAAGAATTATTCTTACAATCCAAAATATGCTTCATCATTAAATAACCCATAAAGGGTTGACAAGTCGTAAAGGAAATTCTTCCTTTTCATCTTTTCTTATTTTATTTTCCTTAAACATTCCTGTTATCTTTTTGTCTATTTTTTCCTACTTTCATTCTTTACTACCTCTTTCTTTCTTTCTTTCTTTCTTTCTTTCTTTCTTTCTTTCTTTGCTGCCTCTTTCTTTCTTTCTTTCTTTCTTTCTTTCTTTCTTTCTTTCTTTCTTTCTTTCTTTCTTTGCCTCTTTCTTTCTTTCTTTCTTTCTTTCTTTCTTTCTTTCTTTCTTTCTTTCTTTACTACCTCTTTCTTTCTTTCTTTCTTTCTTTCTTTCTTTCTTTCTTTCTTTCTTTCTTCCTTTCTTTCTTTCTTTACTACCTCTTTCTTTTCTTTTTATACATTCTTATTCCTTTTACTTTACTTTCTTTTTTTAAAGTATATTTTTATCCTTTTTTTCTTTGTTTTTTTCTTTTCCATATGCTCTTATTCCCTTTCCTACATCTTTCTTTTCATCTATCCATATTTTGTTTTCTTTCTTTCTTTCTTTCTTTCTTTCTTTCTTTCTTTCTTTCTTTCTTTCTTTCTTTTCCATTTCCTTCTCCGGCGTTTGTCTTTCTTTCTCATAATAATGTATAATATTTTTATTTGTAATTCTTTCTTTCTTTCTTTCTTTCTTTCTTTCTTTCTTTCTTTCTTTCTTTCTTTCTTTTCGCTTGTTCTTCTCGTTTTGATTCTCCAATGATTTCCTTGTTATTCTTGCTGTTTTACATTTAACACCTCGTTCTATTCTTTCACTTCTTATATTCTTAATTAATGTTTCTCTTCGATTTCTTTCAATGTCGTATCTGCCATTTTATCATCATCTTTCATTTGCTTCCTCTTTAGTCCTCTCTTCATTCACAGACTGTCTCTGTTCCGAACTTTCTTTTTTTCATTCCACATTTAATTTTTTCGATTTTTTCCCACCCTCTTTGGTTAGTTGTTTTTCATTATCTTTTTAATTTTTCTTGTTTTCTCCAGTTTCTTTCTTTCTTTCTTTCTTTCTTTCTTTCTTTCTTTCTTTCTTTGGTGATTTATTTTTAATCTACTTTTCAGTTTTTCTGACTCTTTTCTTTTTTTCCCTTCATTCTTTCCTTTATTCTTTCTTTTTTAATTCTTGTTTTATTTTTTAATTTGCTTTTCAATTTTTCTTTCTTTCTTTTTAAGCTTTCGATCTTTATCTCTTTTTACATAGATTATAATGAATTAAATCACTTTAATCCATGTAATAGTATTTTATTCTTACCTCTTTATCAATCGAGGAATTTATGACAACAGAATAAATTCCGCAACTCAATCTAATCACGCTCAGCACGAAAGAAATGCTCTTCTTATCTTACTTAAAACATTAAATCGTTGAACAACGCAAACTTTACAAGCACACAAATAATCTCTACGTGGCATGATTTCGATCTGAAAAAAATATGAGATAATCCCAATTACCTGTTCGTAAGGACCATATATTTCCTAGTATAAGGCGAACTTAAATAGGCGGTCGTCTAATGCAACAGTTACAATAAGCTAACCTTAAATTATGCAGTGTATTGGCACTGGTAAGTAGGCTTGTATAATTACCCATATATCGCGTTAGGCTAACAAATGCCTCGGTATGGTAACTATCGATGTAAATATTTTAAGTTGAAACAATTCACTTTATAATGTCGTACTATGTATAGTTATAAATATAATAAAACTATTTTAGTTCATGATTTCATATTAAATTTCACATCGGTTCACGAATTTAATTCTTTCCTGGAGCCCGTTCGTAGCCCGAAATGTTCGTAAACCGAAACTATTTTTCCAATAGGAATCAATGGATTAATCCGATCCTGGTCCCAAGATGATTGCTTATTTAAACTTTAGCAACAGTACTTTGTGCACAAGTTTATACACAAAACTAATGAAAACCATTAACTCTAAGAAAAAAACAAAAAAACAATACTAAACAGATAAAATATAAACAAACCCTTCAATTTTACTGTACCTGCAAGTAGGAGAGTTGATGGCGTAAGTGGAAGGGGAAGGAAAAACATGATTGTCTCTTTATTTATAAGAATAGTATAGATCGTTGATTTTGCCATATGAAACTGACTAGGAAGAGACAATATTGTCAACAATTGTTTTTCTCTTAACTTTTCTTTTTCCTTGACCAGTATCACTGCTAGCTTTCTTTGGAGCCATGACTGAGGACTAACGAAGAGAAAAAGAAAACCACAGTACAATAAAATTGGAAAAGAAAACCACAGCACAACATACGAATGTATACAACACGGCCGGTCGACCCAGGAATGATTCCGTTCGGGTTAATTAGATTCGGCTCGGTTCGGCCATGTTGTTCGAGAACCGAAAATTTGTTCGATAACCGAGGCATTTTCATCTCGAATTTTCTGTTCGAAAAGCAATTTGTTCCACATATGAGACGTTCGAGAGCCAAGGTTGCAGTGTATAATAAAACTTCATTTACTTCATTATATCACATTAAATACAATATTCAAGAGCCGATTACACAACAATTTGCAAAAGTTCCGCTGAGCAACACTCACAGGTAACAAATAATATAAACAACTCTTTTGTCCTTGATTTGTAGAGCTATGGGTGCCTTCACACTTATTATTTTCCTTCAGTCAGTGACGTGCCATGCGTGATACACGCTTAGGCGATCATGTATCTTTTCAATACATGACTGACGAGGCAAATTTTTTCAATTTTTTAGATTGCCATTTCTTTCTGCGGTAGACCAGTTACCATCCAAAGCTACAGAATCTGGTCTGTTCTGCTCTTTACATATAGCTGAGGGGAGAAGAAGAGTATTCATACCTTTCCCAAGGGTATTAGCACATAGCGAAAGGTATGAATCCTCATCTCCCCCCAGCTATGGGTAAATAGTAGGACAGACTAGGTTCTGTAGCCTTGGATAGCAACTGGTAAATAACAACATGCAGCTTAACATAAAGTTTATATTTCTAATTAAAATTCATTATCATTCTGGTGTTAGGTAACAACATTTAGTATAATGTACAAACTTTATTTTTTAATATTTCTTTTTGTTTCTTTTTGCGGTATTATGGAACAAATCATTTCAGATGCCGTAATATTTTTTATTTCTCAATAGAGACGCCAACATACTTAATTAAAACCCTTCAACATTACTATAATCATCACCATCTGAGGCAAAGTGCTCATTATAAACATTATCATTTACAGTTTCGTCACATGGGTCCCAGTCGATCGTCTTATACTACGGATATCAGATAAAATCACTAACTTTTACCTAGATTTTGGGTCTCGCCTTATCTATAGATGCGCTTAATACGTGAAAATACACGTTCATTCAAATTCGAACTAGTTTACCTGTTTATGTAAGCAAAGAGAAACTTATCTATAGATGCGCCTTATACGTGGAAATAAACCCTAATTCAAATTCGAACCAGTTTACCTGTTTATGTAAACAAAGAGAAACTTATCTATAGATGCGCCTTATACGTGGAAATTAACGCTAATTCAAATTCGAACCAGTTTACTTGTTTATGTAAGCAAAGAGGAACTTACCTATAGATGCGCCTTATACGTGGAAATAAACGCTAATTCAAATTCGAACCAGTTTACCTGTTTATATAAGCAAAGGAAAACTTTCATTGCCCGCATATCGTTTTTTATGATAGTCTCATAAACAATTGGGAATGAGTTCGATCCCTGTTGTTGCTTTTAGAAATATCATCCTAGGCGTGTCACGATAATTGGACACGAACAGAAAGAGACAATACCTGTACGATATTTCTTTACCTTCCAACCCACTTAACAATATCTGTGTCTGCATACTTATAAAATCTGAAATCCCCATCTACATTGACTATCGTCGGATGTATCGGCGCGGGATTGATACGTGAATTAAAAGGTTTCGAGCTTTTTTAATTTTTGTGAGCTTAAATATGTGGGAAGTCTTTTGACAGAGGACAGAAAGTGCGATGCTGAAATCCGAAGGCGCATTGGGATATCCAAAGATGCTTTCCAAAAACTAAGCAAAGTATTAAGAAACAGAAAAAAAAAGAAAAACATTAGCAACAAAGAAATGAGTACTGAACAGTTAAGTAATATCATTCATCCTATATGACAGTGTCTGTTGCACAATCTCCTCACAAATGAACAACAAAAATCTGGTTCTCCGGAAAGATGCTAAGAATGGACTGAATATGTGAGCAACGGCGAAATTTTTATAGAAAATGGAAACAAAAAGAACATTTGCACATAAAATCAGAAGGAGACAGATTAAATTTCTAGGATACATAATGAGGAAAGAGGGCTCGGAAAAGTTGATACTCACAGGACAGGCTGAAGGTAAGCGGGACAGAAAAAACAGCGCATAGCCTACCTATGGAGTTTAAGTAAATGGATTGCGGAACAAGGTTTAGCGGAGATAACAAAAAGACAACTTTTATTAAGAGCTACAAAGGACGGGAAATTGTGGAGAGCTATGATGACCCACCACCTGAAGGGACACGGAACATAGAAGAAGATCTTCTCCAATCCGGTGACTGTCTTTGAAATTTAAATTTTAATCCTCTATATTTATATTAAGCAATCCATCCAATCAGAAGTTATGCCGTAGTAGTCGTCGTGGTAGCTGTAAATATTGCTGAAGTTATAGTAATAATTCTATTGGTAGTGTTATCGTAGTAGCAGCCAGTCTCATAGTTATAGTAAGAACAGTCGTCGTAGTGAGACGTGTGGGACCAGGGATTCCGGTATTGTGAAAAAAAAAAAAAAAAGATAAAAATACAGACGACTAAACTAAAACGACCAAACAACAACAACAACACTGGACCACTTTTCTTTGCTAGAACAGGACACGGCCCGGCACAGGATTTTGATATTCAGCGTTCAGTGTTTACTTTTAATAGGAAGATGTTTATATCGTTTGCACACACCACGCCAAAAGTTAGACCTTATTTTTCTTTTTTTAAAGAAACGATTCAGTGATTTCTGTCCGTGACGAGGTTTTTTATTTTGCCTGAAGTGCAAAAAGGACTGGTGTTAAATAGAAAGAAAGAAAGAAAGAAAGAAAGAAAGAAAGAAAGAAAGAAAGACAAACAGACAGATAAACATAAAGAAGGAAAAAAGGCAGACAGATAAATATAGAGAAAGAAGGGAAGAAAGAAAGATAGGTAGATAGTCATAAAGAAAGAAAGAAAGACGGACATAAAGAAAAAAGATACAAAGAAAGAAAAGAAGACAGACATCAAGAAAGAAAGACAGATAGACATAAAGAAAGACAGACCTAAAGAAAGAAAGAAGGAAAGAAAGAAAGACAGATAGACATAAGGAAAGAAAAATAAGAAAGACCGGCATAAAAAATAAAGAAATAAAGAAATAGATAAAGAAAGAAAGAAAGAAAGAAAGAAAGAAAAGAAGACAGACATCAAGAAAGAAAGACAGGCAGACGTAAAAAAGAAAGAAAGACATAAAAACAGAAAGACAGAGAGACATAAAGAAAAACGAAAGAAAAAAAGAAAAAGCAAGACAGATATAAAGAAAGAAAGAACGAAAGGCAGATAGATATAAAGAAAGGAAAGAAAGAAAAAAAGGAAAGAAAGAAAGGAAAGAAAGGAAAGAAAGAAAGAAAGAAAGACGAACTTAAGGAAAGAAAAGAAGACAGAAAGACATCAAGAAAGAAAGACAGATATAAAGTAAGGAAGTAAAACAAGAAGCCATAAAACGAAAGAAGGAAAAAAAAAAAAAGAAGGAAAGAAAGAAAAACTGATTCAAAGAAACACTCCGTTCCGAGAGACAGATTTACTTTTTCGACAACTGTCTGCCAAACTTCAACTCAAAATAAACTATTTATACTAATGTTTTATATGCGTGGCCAGAAGTGAAGGAATTCCTGTTAAATTTTAAAGCAGTCGATGTATCAATCTGCAAAGATTGTAACGCGCACTTTTACATGTGAAATACAAAGTTCGAACCCCACCCCGCAAAAAAAAAAAAAAAAAAAAATAGTTGCGTAACATTTTCACTTTCGGAATGTGTTTACGGATTTTGTTTTCTGACGATCATTCACGTTTAATCACCAGAAATAGGTAAGTATTAAAATATATATTTTTATAATCATTCGAGTGGAGCAAACATGTTGTGTAAGTGTAATGTAACTTCAAGGCAGGAAGTCTTATATATCTGGGGATATTATTTTTCTTGAAGTAAGCAAGCTGATTTTGAATCAAATCGTTTTTGCTTGATGTCAATATTACGAGAAATCTTACATAAGCTGATCAGGGGTTCCATAATGATTAGATCCGCTTCATAGAAAAACCTTCTCTATCACACACACACACACACACACAAATGTATGTATATAGTTATTTTCTAAGCGTAGCTTAGATGTGGCACAAGGCCGAAAGTATGGGACACCTAGTGAGGATCGAACTCACTTTTCAGTCGTAACTGATCTAGCGAGACTAGCTTGCCAACCATTACCCCACACCGAGGTGCCCACAAATGTATGTATATATATATATATATGTATGTGTGTATGTGAGTATGCGTGTATATGTATTTTCTAAGAAATCCGATATTGTTTCTTTTTATGCCAAAAGTTATTTTAATTTTTACCCATATTTGAGAACACCCTGTTTTTTTTTAAATTTTTTTTGTTTTATTTTAATAATATTAATTACATTTACCATTATATACATTGGAAAGACTCGGGCAACCCGAGGCGGTGTAAGGGTTAACAAGCTTGTCTCGCTAGAACAATTACGACTGAGTAGTGAGTTCGATCCTCACTGGGTGGCCCCATACTTTTGGCCTTGTGCCACGTCTAAGCTACGCTTGGAAAATCGTTCCTCACTGGATGCCCCTACTTTCGGCCTTGTGCCACATCTAAGCTACGCTTGTAAAATCATTATACATTCGAAAGACTCAATAAAAGAAAATATGTTTTCCAGCAAGGTTCGAAACTACGTCCTCTGAACCAGCGTGTTTGAGACAACTGCCTCACAAAGAACGTCACACAAATACGCATGGTTCAATTACCTTATTTGAACGATATGTGCGTCTTTCAAAAAGTGTAATTGACCCATATCTTGACGCTTTCTGTGGCCGAGTCGGCCATACATGCCGAATAAGATAATGGTTTCTTCTATAAAGAAGGACAAAGGTTAGGGCCCTGACGGAGAGCAATTTAACTTTATTAAGCTTTCGGATACACCAGCCGTGAGACGTAAAACTGTTAATAAAAAGGAAAAAAATAGTGGCATCTCCTCAAACATTCACGAAATCACTAAAATAACTTTCGGAGTAATAAAGAACATATATATATATATATATATATATATAGATCCTCAGAGAACGAAACGCGTCGGCTAAGAACAGGGTTACCTCTTGTTTATATATATATATATATATATATATATATATATATATATATATATATCATTAAAGTTTTTTGTTATTTTTCTGTATGATTTCGCAGAATGACATTCATTATTGACTTAAAAACATTATCTTCCAAATATAAATTGTACAACACAGTTTTGGCTAAATGCAATCTCTCTTATTTTACACACACACTCAGACACATACACACACAGACACACACACATATATATGTAGATACATACATAGATATAGACAATATCAACTCTGTGGCTAACATTGCATAATGACTTAGTTTCACGCTTCTATGTGATTTTCAAAACAAATATGTATATATATATATTATATTTGTTTTGAAGATCTCTCTCTTCTCTCTCTCTCTCTCTCACACACACACACGCATATATATATATATATATGTAGATATATTTATATATATACATCCCACAGTAAACATATATATATATATATTCTGAGGTTTGTATATATTTATATATGCATGCATACACACAGACACACAGACACACGCACACACACACACACACACACACACACACACATATATATATATATATATATATGCATGCATGGATGTGATCGTATATAAGAGTGTACATATGAATAGACAAAAGCTTCCCTCATAAATACTAAATAAATAATAATTTCTATTAATGTTTTATTGAAAGAGGCAGCTCAAACTTTCATCGGATACCAGAAACTGTCACAATTTATTAATAACTTACTTTTCATCAGTAAAAGCTATAAAACAGATCACCTCTTTGTACCATTGTTTCGAAATTGCATCAGCCAGCCTCCGGGATTATAACAATAGACATCATATATATATATATATATATATATATATATATATATATATATATATATATATATATATATATAATAGGCAGGCAAATATATGTAGAAAAGCATCCATTTATCTCGCGAGATAATGGTAACATCCTCTTTGTTAAAAAACAATTGTGACATCCGGTTTGGTCAAAATTCAGTTTTTTGGCGTTGAAAGTCTCCTCTCCAGGGTGCAGGCTAGGACGATGGTATACGATGGCCGTTTGCTGCCCAGACCACATGACCAAACTCTCGGCCATACTGACAAGCTCCAAAGGCACACAGGGTATTACACTTGGGACTGGTCAGTGGCTCAGTTCCGGATTTTCTGTCTGGATTTATTTGCATATCCTTTTCCGTCTTTAGATATGTCCGCAAGTTAGCGTAGTTTTAAAACCAGAGTTTACCTTTCCCAAGTCGGTTCATCTACCCGAAGTAGTTGTTTATCAGTCACCAGTGGTCTGCCTTCACCTCTTCTCCGACTTGGAGCAGGATTTTGTTGTCAGAGATTACTTGCCATGAGCGTATTTTATAGGCAGTGGAAACTTTACCTCACGACCACCCTGTCTGTCTTTGTCTGTCTGTCTGTCTGTCTCTCTCTCTCGATATATATATATATGTATACGTACATCTATCTATCTATCTATCTATCTATCTATCTATCTATCTATCTCTCTCTCTCTCTATATATATATATATATATATATATACTATAGCGTTCATAAGTTTTTTTTTAAATAAAGTGTTGGGAAGCCAATAGATAAAAATCTCCTGAGGATGCCGTAAGGTTGAAACCAGGAAGCGGATCCAAATGATCTCATGGTTTTAAGGTTAAAATATCTACATGTTATTTTTATTTTATTTTATTCACACGTGTATTGAGCAGTTTTTAATACTACTGTTTCCTGGTCTGATTCATCTCTGACGATTAACCTTTTATGTATTATATATATATATATATATATATATATATATATATATATATATATATATATATATATATATATGCAAGCTTCATTAAATATGACAGATAAGGTACTTTGATTAAGTTTTTTATATAATTTCTCATATGATCGTATAATTTTCACTTTTCCGTAGATAAATTATACAAAATCTGTCCAAATGTTTTATTTTTCCAACCGCTTTCGGCTATACATTTAGCCATTATCAAGGATGAATTATATTTACTGTTAACTGAAACCATAGCTCAATTAAGTCTCATTTAAATACTCATGGAGACCTATCGGACCCTATTCGCAACCTACTCGTTGATAATACAAATATAATAACATCGTCTACATGTAAAAAAGTTTAAAAATAATGGAAGCCTTATTAATAAAATCAAGAAACCAGCACTCAATAAAATCAACTATTCAAAATGGACACAATATGTTGACTGTAATTTGAAAATAACACATTGTGTAATACTAAATACATACATACAACAATACATTTTCAGTTAACACTAAATATAATTCATACTTGATAATGGCTAAATGTATAGCCGAAAGCGGTTGGAAAAATAAAACATTTGAGCAGTTTTTGTCTAATTTATCTACGGAAAAGAAAAAAAATTATAAGATCACATGAGAAATTATATAAAAAACATAATAAAAGCACCTTGTCTGTCATATTTAATGAAACTTGCCTGAAAGAAGGAATGCTGCCTAAATATACAATTATATATATATATATATATATATATATATATATATATATATATATATATATATATATATATATATATCGATTCTCCGTCGGGTTCGACGTATGAGGTCAAGCAGATCAGTTTCCAGGAAACCGACAGCCCGACACCGGCACATGAGATTTGATTATAGTGGTGAAGGCCTCGTGCAGGACCATCCACACTTTTTGAAGGGCCGAATACAGAGACCTGGTGCACCGAATGCCACAAGGTTCCCAAACGACCCTCCGCAGGTTTTGAATTCAGAGTTGTCCTTCTCCTAGACCAGTTGCCATATATATAACAATATAATATAATAATTTATTTAAAAAAAATTATAACATAAATATGTTATAAAATCACTACAAAAATAGCTATTTTGTTTCAACACCTCCGGTGTCTTATCAAGCGATGATGTTGGATGTAAAATAAATGGTTTTCTTTTAAGAATAGTAATTGTTGGTTATTGGAATTCGTTCCATATACACCAATTATATACTTGTATATATATATATATATATATATATATATATATATATATATATATATATATATATGGAGAGACTTTTCCGCTACTGTCAGTTTCATATATGAACCACGATCATCCGACGGTCGTGAGAAATAGAGGGATAGGCTAACCAAGTGTTTAGTTTATATAGGGGTGGTGGGAAAGAGGAATATGAGATACTCTCTGTCCACAGGAATATGGTACAATTTAGTGTGGTGTAT